ATATGTACATACGTACAGTCTGGTAAAGCTCACATATCGTTATAAATGTAAATCTAAATGAAACGCTATGAGATGACATGACAATCATTCAATTATTGCAAATTGACCCATACTGTGACCTCTCACCATGACTACACTCACTGCAAGCTGCAGATAAGCCAATCACAGATTTAGATTGAAGATACATGAACCCTTGCTCTACCATCAGTAAGAATTCAAATTTAACAATGAGTGCACGAGCATGACATCACATCCATAGTGAAATTGTGATATATAAAAAATCGAATGTGCAATTGCCCAAGGTACAATGTACATGCATGCCAAGTCTTATGTCAATCGTATTTGAATTGACAGTGCACTAGGCTTTTTTCGAGGAGTCTCACACCCAAGAAGATGATCAGCGCTTCGCCAGTTCACAGTCAAAAATTGTGCACAATATACATGTACATGTACACGTAGGACTACATGTACATGCATGCACATGTAAATCAAGTGAACATAAGTACATACACAAGTAGTCCAAAAATTCAAACATTTGATTTTGCTACAGTACAGCAAACGCATCGTTCTATCAAAATAGTCATATTTGGGCTATAAGCTAGAACAACAGTAACAATGTAAATACATCAAAAATTATGCTGGTTAATTACTGTGTAAAGATGCATTATGCAACTTCTCTCAGAATATACATGTAGCACATCATGTGCATGTACATGTAGGTAATTTGAATGAAATTTATAATATATTCATTATTCATTATCTACATTGTATTTTTAGAACTATTACAGCAAGAATAATATACTTCCTCTTTTATGTGCAATGGCAACACCTTGTTTCTGTATTAATATTATGCTACACATTGTTGTTGTTGTACATGTATTATGCAACACCTTGTTTCAGCCATATGCAACACTGTTCGATAATTGTTTATTTATAAATAAATGAAGTTTTATCATGAAGTAAATCAATCAGTTGTGGTCTCAATCCTATTATTGCAAGACACACCCGGGTAACACCTTGTTTAATTTAATTTCTGAATTTAAAATCAATAATGAGAAACAACATATTCCATTGTTTTGTTTATCTCACAATATTTTCTGTATTTACGTCATATTTATCAAACAAAGTTCATTATTTATCAATATCTGAGTTGAACCATCTGTCACCCTGTACTCAATGCCACAAGGGTCGATACTGACAAAATTATCATCTGACAGGATAAATTCTATTTGAACATAAAGAGATGAAAAATGCTGGAAATAAATTATTCATTAGTATCTCCAACACATCATTCAATTAATAAGAAAATTTGTCAACATCAAAGGACTTTCCTATAAAAATCAATAAATTTTTCATGCATTAGAAAATGGGAAAATTGATTCACAAAAGAACCATCATGATAGAAATTTAGGTAACTATACAGTGCATGTAGGTCTGGGGGGTTTTTGTTGGACAGTGATGTTCCTAGTGAGAATCAACTGAAATCTCAATATTTTCACAACAACTGTTATGCAATTCAATTGTCGCACAATTAAAGCAGGTCTTAATTACATGTACTGGTGCACTTTTGTTTGCTCTTCTCCATTCCATTTGTTAATTCACATGTGACAAAAAGCATTTTTTTGCTCTTCTGCATTCCATTTTTTTTTAATTCACATTTTTGAATATTAACTGAATATCATTTTATTCTGCATTCCTTTTTTAATTCACATTCTTAAATATTTAACCAAATTTATTCTGTATTAATTTTTCAATGAAGCTTTAATATTTCTGTTTTAAAGATGTTGACAGGACGACGTCATATAATTCATTTCATATTTTCAAGAATTTCTAATTATGCGTAAGAAAGATTTTAATCACTTTCTTTTCATGTAAATATGAATATTTATATTAATCACTTTCTTTTCAAGTAAATATATTCATATTTACTTGAAAAGAAAGTGATTAAAAACTTTTCTACACATAATTAGAAATTTTTGAAAATATGAAATGAGTTATATAATAAGAGTAAGAGAAGAAAAATAATCGACTGACATAATGTATTATTTTTGCTCTATAGTCATGGTGATCTACATGTAAAAGGTTTGTTGTAACAATTCTCTAACTCAAATATTGATTGGCAGATTACAACAACCTATTGACTTGTATTTTTTACTGTTTATTTTTTAAACTAAACAAACGAACAAAGAAGTCTGACTGAGAGCCAATAAAAGTACCTGTTTTGTATAACAAAGGTAGTCATTGCTTCAATACTGAACATAAACCACAGACCAACAATGTGGCTATGACAGCTGATAGAAACATGTCAACATAAATCATTACATATACAATTAGTATGGAACTTCAGAATAAAAGAGAGACAGATTAACCTTCACTCAACACAAACTAGGTCATTCTGCAACGAATATGGCACTATTTTATTTCAGTAATTTGTCTTCCAATAGATGTCAAAAGATTTCAGCGCAAATGAATAGGTGGCACTGGATTGTGTTAAATATACATGTGTCTGCAGTGGACACTGAATATTGACAAATTTTCAGTTTATCCTATCTTTGTAAACACTGAAAGGAATTGAACCATTTTTGGGACTAATGTTCCGTTTAGAAATTCTCACAATTTTGGCAAGGGATTCAGAATCCCTTAAATGAGGATATATGTTCACATGTACATGTACAGTACAAGACTTTAAGACAGAAAAGGTAATAAAGAGCCAATAGTATTTTTCGACAGGTGTGAATTAGCATAACAATGCAATCAAGTCATCCAGAGAAATTAATGACCAAATGAGTTGAATAGCTGGCATGAAGTCCATTGATCTTTACAAATACTGGAGACAAACACCCCTCTCTAATCTTTGTTTTATGTTTGCAGATAAAATTGACTATGCAGTCATCATACAATAACATATTGATCAACTATTTCTCTCTTTATTCATCTTTACATGTTCAACTATCAATATTGATTTGGCGAAAATACTGCACATGACAATCGATCCTGTACGTCAAAGATATAACTGTAGGCCTTAATGTTATAATGTACATGTAATTATAAATACCAGTAATCAAATTGTCTTTAATGGAATCACCAAGTTGGTGGCTGACACATACATGTACACCAACCGAATATCTCAAAACTAAAGAGGGATTTCTTGGGCCATTGCTTCAGGAATATGACAGAGTGCATGTACAATGTACAGTTAAGTGGTTCATTAACTACATGTACTATGTATTGCTTTGTTGAAAAGCTATTAAGTGGTTTATAAAGACAATGAAGCATCATTTAATAAATCAATTTTCTACTTTCATAAAGTAGGTTCCATATGATAACAGTTTACCAAATATATGTGTAACTGAAGCTTTTTCACTCGCGTTCAAGACCAGATTAACATTTTTAAAGCTCTGAGCACTGAAAAGATTAGGATGCTCCCATAAATGTACATGTATATGGGAAATGTTATTAAAAGTAAAATTGACACTAAACCATAAAATGTATTTTTAGAAGATTTTCCATGAACAATATTATTTGAAAAGGCTATTATGTGAATAGCTTACTGAAAAGACTCAATAATTCCCAAGTTATCTCTTGAATACATTATGTACACAACTGAATAGTCTACATAATACAAACCTTTCCATCCATATCCTTTTCATCTTCATGTAATTTGAACTTTAATATCTACTACTCATGTTAAAGATTAAAGTGGTAATAATTGTAGCAAAGTGTATCAATGGAATTCTTTAATGTTTCTACTCTTAGAGTGTGAAATATGCCAGGTATGGATAAAAATAGTTTAAATATAAATGTAATCAAACTATCAACTGTTTGTAGTACACTCAGTTGCTGTTAGTTAACAGATGTTAGAACTATGTTGACATCTGGAAAGATGTTCTTTCTATGTCAGTTAGTAATACAAAACCTGTGAGATTTACACATTCGACACTTTTACTACAGGTGAAATTTCTGGTATGCTGTTATGGTATGTCCATCTGGGGGGTCAACAACTCCTCAGTGCTTGTACTATGTATCTACACATAATTTAATATGTATGCCAAATATGATGGGGTCCTTTTTTTAAATGTTTGGTACATGTACCAAATGACTGTGCCTGACAAAGCCTGAATTTGTGCCTGACAAATATAACACAAAGTCTCATATGTGATAATGACATAAGGACACCTGGAGGGATGAAGGTAACTAGCAGGATAACTATGGCTATTATATTATAATTAGCAATCACAAGAACTGTTGAATGAAATTAGCCAGTTAAAGCCCAATTAACCACCCAACAGCTACTGCATTTGCACATGAAGTGAAGTGTCAAATAAAGGAACTGACTTCTATTATTATCAAATTATCGACCATTACCACATACACATGTAATTACTATGGTGGTGACCTGACCTTAAAATTAATAGAGAGAAATGGTTTTATAAGCTCTCAAGGGGATCATGATTCATTGGCTGACCATACAGATATAACTCCAAGACTCACATTCACACAATTGTCTTACATTTTAAAAAAAAAAAATTTGTTTGTTTGCTATGTAGTATGTTTGAACTTATAATTTTATTAACTTTATACATGTAATAACCAGTTGTTTTACAAGAACTTTTATTGCTCTGTTATGGATGTTATGAGTAGTACTGTTGTTTCACATGATAGAAACACTCTAACACATACATGTACCTTCAAGAAAACATTTTTTTCTGGCAAATTCTTAACTAAAATAAAAACACTCACCAGGTTACTAAGAAACAGCATTTATTGTAAATAAATGTGCTTATTTTTTTTTAAAAAAATATTTATCATATATATATATATTAAATCTTAATTCCTGATAAGACTACATGTAAGTATAAATAGAAATATTCTTTTTGGAATATAAAGTACTGTAGAAATACACCGATATTGGATATTGGCCCAGTTATAACTGTACAAAGTTTACAGAAGTGTACTACAAATTATCAGTGTCAAAATAAATTAATAAAAACTATTCATACCTTTAATTGTATTAACATCAGGACAACTAAGAAGAGGTGTTATCAGCAGAAAAATAGCATATAAAAATGATAATCCATTGAACCTAACAACAGCCGCTGGAAAAGATAAAGAAATACTTTTATATAGCTTACATTAATTAATGTACATTTTCGACTAAGCTTTATATTGTTTAAACAAACCTAAAAATACAACATACGTAGGCCTATATTTAGCAAAATATTCTCAAAACAATTAAAAATAGTGTATGCAAAATGTACATGTAGATATATGTGTACATTCAAATAAAATTTTGATCCTAATTAACAAAATAATGTTTTAATCCTAATTAACAAAATAATATTTTAATCCTGATTAACAAAATAATATTTTAATCATAACAATTTAAAACATTTAACATTCAATAAATCATTAAAGTTCTTACAAACAAACCAGAAACATGTATATTACATTTTTCACAATTTCTAAAATTACCTGCTAAAAGTGTTATCGGCAATAAAATCCGAAATAATAAATAACAAACTAATCGTGTGGCCTTAGTAGACATTTTGTAGTATTAATCCCACTTTTTCTGTATCAAAAAAAATTCTATTAATTCCAGTCTTCACAGCATGAGTAGTTCCTTATTTATCCATTTTATATATCATGAATACTTCACACCACAATGCACACTTGATAATCTTGTTGAGTTTGGAACTTAATGCACATTTGAAACAGTTATTCAACCACTAACATTTGTTGCACCTGCTGCTGAACAATGGCAACTCTGAAATTAAATGTATTTCCAACAAAAAATTATCAAACAAGAACAACTAAAATTCAAACTGACGCTTTGATGGCGCTTTTGTTATCAAAATTGAGTGGAACAATTAAGCTAGCGCGTGCCTGTTTATCCAACTATCTGATTCGACGCACCGGCGGATCGACTCACAAACACATGATTAATATTGTATTGAATGACATCGCGAATCAAGAAAAGTCGAAGTGTGTGCAGCTGTTGCCACAGTTCTAACTTTCTAATGTCAGCAAACACATAAATAATTTGGCTGCAACTTTCGAAATATTTTACATACTCTTGTCAGAAACCTGTAGAAACTGTTGACAAGTTTTCTTATATAACAACTTGCGTTGTGTAAGGAAAATATAACTGTTTTGTAAGGAAACTTTCTCGAGAATTCACCACGGCGTCATCTGCTTCCCATCAACAGCGCCCTCTCTTTTGTCTGGTATTCCCCAAAACTGAAACCGGTTTGAGGAATTCCCTATTTAGACCAATCAAATGCTAGAACATATAAACCAATTATTACTACTACCGGTGATGATTTTATTTGTTCCGGTATGTAAATAACCCCGAGACAGCTTCTGATTCATTCAAAACAAATGTGCTGATTAATACATTTAAATTGCCGTCAAGCCATTAAATTTGTCGTTACTGTTATTATGTAAGTTGTCGATGTATGAAAGAACATAATAATTTAGATTCATGTAGATAAAATTTCATATTATTACCAAATTACACTCGAATGCGCCTTTAAAAGGAATTGGGTGTGGACCTAAATTTATACCCGTGCATAAATTGACCGGACGGTGTGATTGGCTTAGCATAAATTCTGTTGTTTTTTTGGTCCCCTCAACACAAATAGACATTTTGTTCTTGTCCGGTCCGTCGGTCCTCCATCCTGCACCACTGACAAGGGAAAATGAGACTGGAAAGTCTAGAGGCAATATTCCGGCCAACACATGGTGCAAAACCTGTGACTTCTAGATAAGTGAGTTGGTGCCATTCATCATTCTCATAAATTCAGTCATTGAGCCATCATGACCCCCCCCCCCCCCTCCAATTACTAGTTATTCGGATCGTATGGAAAACCATTGTGTACCAGTTGGAATTTGGTTACAAGTAGTCGCTGGCTGGTCAATTTCTCTCATAGCACACTGCATGCAAATTGCAATGGCATATACATATGTATATATAGTCTTCATTTACTGATTTAACGCAGTTGGTGCTGAAAAGAAGGATGTTGGACACCATTTCATTTCATATTCCTCTTTAGAGTTAGGCTGACACTTTTCTTTATTTTCAGATAACAGTAAAAAGAAACTAGAATGGCTCGACAAATTTCAACAGCTGTGTCCGACTTGGTGCTAGCCTTGTCTGTATTCTATGTAGTGTATTATACCATCTGGTTCAATTTCTTTGCTGCTATTGGTCTTTTACTCCAAGGTATAGCTGCCTCTGCTGGAGTGGCCAGATTCAGTCAGTCGAGACCAGATCCAAAAATCATCAAAGGTCACAAGTTCATGTCATGGATAGCAACAGTTGCTGGGATGTCTTTGGTTGCCACAGGATTCTGCCAGTACACACTACCATTTCTGATGAATTTGAATTTTATGTTTTTCATTGCTGTTCTAATTGTTGGTCAGTTTTTGGAACAAGCTCAATCAGCCCTTGCCACACAGGCCTGTAGCGGTTTTGCAATGTTGACAATAATAGCATGTTCTGTAAAGACAATGAATTTGTATGGAGTGATTGCAGCAGTGATTTATATTGCTGCAGGAGCATTTATCGGTGTGGATGGTTATTATTCTGGTATTCCGAGAGTTGATCTCTTACACTATGCTTTAGTTTTGGGAAATATATTCTTTTTGTGGGCTTTGAGATAAATATTGTGACTTACATTAACTAAAGCACAAAATTATTATTTGAATTACTTAATCTCTACTGCCTAGAACTTTATTTAATATTAGCTCACTTTGAAAGTCTATGGGGATACTTGATTGAATGTCCTGAAATTGAATTCTCTGAATTCCAAAAATATTGGCAATTGAGTTAAAAGGGGTATTTTGGTCTACAACACATTTGTCGACTGCTCAACAAGATATCTTAACCAACGATTCTACTCTCACCCACCTCAGTTGTCAGAACTTTAACAGAAATGAATTCTGTCAATTTCGTGACTTTCCGGACTGACAACCAGGCATCCCCATTGTGTCACAAGATTAATTCCAAACTAAGGATGGTATTGTATTGTAGTGCTCACACAAATATTCAAATACAAATAGCTATGCAAACTGATTTTTTTCAATGTTTATTAAAGTTGCATTATGTAAGATTTAGCTAAAGAGCTTGAATTTCTTGCTGTAATAGGTCAAAAATAGATAATGAAAAATGAATATAGTGAAAATGCATGTATCATTCAAATTACTTTAATCTGAGCAAAGTTATGACTGTTTAAAGATAAAACATAGATTATTCATTATCGTACTGTAGCAAGTAGCAACGATACTTGACAACCAAGACTTGACAGCCTTGATTGTGCATTTAATTGTTAAATTTCGCAGGTGTTTAAATTCATTAAAACTCGGCCATCCGATGATCTAAAGAGTTGATTATAGTATCATTATAGGCTTGCCAATGTCATGTTAATAAATTTAGCTCTTACATAATGCATCTTTAAAGCAAATAGCAATTGATCAGTTTTTGTCTTCTATGAAATATTTACTGCTAATCATTTAATGTAGTCAACTAATATTTATAAATTAAAAAACAAATAAAAAAAGGAACTAAAGAATTTGTCATTTCATATGAATAGAATATTCAAACAGTATTTGAATATTGACTTAGAATACTTGAATAGTTAAATTTGAATTCATTATGATTAAGTACTAAGTATTACTATATTTAGTTACAACTAATCTACACCATTTCCCACTCAGTGTCTTAAATTAATTGTCATATTTATACAGTTATGTATCATTTATTATATTCCAACTTAAATGGCTAAACCCCTTTGATCTGGAACAAAAAAAAATAATTTTCTAGGATGACAGTCTATCTACTTCCAAAATTTAATTGTTGATTTCATTATATTATATTGTATTATTTTTACTTAAATCAAAGAGGTTTAAACTATAGTTTAATGTGGGGCAACTATACTTTACATGTATTTGTGGCCTAATATAGTGTGCTGTTAAAGCAGTTTCAATGGCATTTAGTAATTGAACTGGAAATACACAGGTCACAATTGTATGCACTGCATTTACTGTTTTAATTAGGCTTCTTTATCAAGTAAATTGTATTCCGTAGAATTGTGACCTGTGTATCGCGTGCTGTGTTTCAATTTAGTACAGAATCTATTTCTTTTAGATTCCAATGAAAATATTTATGTGTATTTCAATTTGAACTATTGTTAATATTGTTATGAATTTAAAAAGCTTTAAATGAGATTTTGTTTTTATAGAATTTGTTTGTTTGCGTCATTTTTTTGTCATACATATTTACATTTAAGAAGTCCCATAATCAAATCATCTTTTTAAAGATCTTATGTTTTAATTTTGTCATAGATTTTGTGTTATGTATAATTGCAATAATATATTTTAGTCAGCATTTTAACCATAATCAAATCTGAAACTTTAGTAAAAGTCACAAATTTGGCCATTTTTATGATAGTTTCGAGTTCCGACCCCAAGGTCATCAGAAATTTTCAATTTGTCCTTCTGACAAATGATTCAGAAAATTTTGCACATTTTTTTGTTTTTAGAAAATGCAGAAACTACAATCTACTCCTATTTCAAATTTCAACTGTCAAGGGTTCTGTTAGGTGCATGCCAATGTGTACATGAAATCTTGGGGTTTTTTTTGTCCCATTCGAACGACTAATCACCGTATCAGGGACGGATCAGATAAATAAAATTATTGAGCATAATAATATATAAACCACCATTCACATTACTTTGTTCATGCCTAAAGTGGATAGTTCTTGCAATATTGTAATTATAGTTTGTATTTATGTATTTTTGATTTATATGCTATATGTGAAGTTTATAGATAAGCCATATGATACGTTAGGTATTATGCATGAGTTGTTTAGCAACAAGCCTAGAAATAAAGCACTTGTTTTATTTCAATAATTCGCTTGCACGTAGGGGTATTTAGAAATGGAGGAAAACTGAAGGAATCAGAGAAAACCCACACTCAATAAAATGCATTTTCTCAATTCAAGGATCAGTGGGACAGCTTTAACCCATGTCTCGAGAAGTTTTATTTTATAACGTCTGTATTAATACATTTAATGAACCATGTCAATAATGCGCAACTATCACCATGGTTATTTCATTTATATTATAGAATTTCATTGGTTGGCTCACTATCCGTAACATCCAATCAGCAGTTAAAAACAAAAATATTGGCTCAAATTGGCTTGTGTTTCCAAGATTCAGGTAATTAGATTTACACCAGAAAGACTTTTTGCAAATCAAATAACTTTGGTTTCAGTTATGACAAATGCTTTTATGCTTAGAAGATGTGAACTTAGACATGCTCACCTCTGGTTTGAAACTCAGTAATTGTTGTGTGAATTGAAGCTTGGTAAATAGATTATACAGGTACATATTTTATCATATTCCAGGTGATTAGAGAAATAATTCCTAATATTTACGATTCCTCTTAGAAGTATTATTCCAAAATGTTGAGAGTATTACAATTATTCCATTTTGTTTTAGAGAAGTTTTGCAATAGTTGAGAGATAGATCCAAATAACTTTTGCTTAGTTTTATAAATTGGATTAGATTTAAGGTTGTTTTGGCCACTTGGCACACTGTAATCAAGATTGCCAGTAGTCTCAGAGATTTTACTACATAAAACAGGTAGTTTTACCTTATATTTGTGATTGTCTGAAATCTGGGCTTAAGAGAATAAAACAATATTTAAGATTATACATAAGCCCAACTGAGAATTATCGCATGGCATGAGATTAGCTTCAGAGGCAGCATTATATATATATATTGTGAACTGGGAATAATAATAATTAAATATTCTTTGAATGGTAGTTAGTAATTGATACATGTGATTGTAAGTAGTCAACAATCAGTACCATAATTAGAAAATATACTTTACTTTAGAAGATTTATAATTCTGCTATAGAGTAAACCTCAGTAAGTATTGAAATGCAATATTCATTAAAGGGCCAATCCCGATAATATTTTGGGGAATAAAACTGATTGTGTGCTAAAATCCTTTAAAATCCTCTACCTTAGGGTCGAACAACTAACTCAATATATGTGATACGTTTTCAACCAACTTAAACTTGTCAGTCTTCATCTGGAAATGGAGACTGGTGTTCCAAAGCTGTATTATATGGTATCTAGATAAAACCAGACTATTATTTTATAAAAATAATGTGTAGGCGAAATTTACCTTTCATTATCAAGCACAGCACATGGGTCATTCACTGTATAGACCTCTAAAGGAACGGGAATCGATTGTCAGGTCACCCAACGAAAAAATTGACCCGAAATCTTAAAAGGGTTACATGTCCGGATAAGCAGTTTTGATGTTCACATCCGAACGACTCAATATTTTGAGCTGAAATTTTGAGACAAGGTAAATACACTATTCCTCTTAAATTTCATATGTACTCAGACTTTTATTTTTGAGACTCTGTTCAAATCAGGATAGTCCCTTTAAATTCTCATTGCATCATTTTAGTGCAATAGGAATTCCTTGCACACATTTTGAAAGATGAATTTAACAGAATCAATTGGCCTGTTTTAAATCTAACTGAATCCAATCTGATTTCGATTTCTTAATTAAAAGTTAAATGGTCTAATCAGAGTATATATATTAAATAAGCTGTGACATATTGTAAAACTAATGAATGGACTCTCATTCATATTTGATGACTTCTTCTTGTCTGCATTTTGAAGACTTTAATTTACAGGGTAATGGATTGAGGGTGGGTGTGTCTACTCTCAAATTGAAAACATCAAAATTGTATGTCAATGCAGGAGAATGTTTGTATTAGAAATATCATTTATGTAGTGTAATGTATAATGTAGAAACTTTGTATCTTTTTATTTAATTCATTATAAATTTTACTTAACTGTTGTTTCTGTTTATTTTATATTGGGAGCCACAGTAGCTAAATGAGTAAGGCATTAACTGGCTAACCTTGAGATTCCAGGTTTGAACCCAGTGTTGGCAAAGAAAGTTCTTCGGAATTTTCCCACAATGGCTTCCCCTTGTCGGTGCGTTACGTTTCTCGCAAACCAACGAATCTGACATAAGTATTGAGAATTATGCGTTCTGTTGTTATCTCTGTAGCCATCAAATAACAACATTTATTTGTGATTTAATATTTCATTTCATTGTGTTTAATTAGGTCACAATTCTACTCACACCGCCTGTTTTGGGGACTGACCGAACGGTGAAAGGACTGAATTCTATGTCACTTGATTGTAATTCTATCAATTTGGGACTTTCCGGACTGAGAATCCAGCAACTCCTAAGATTCTGCAACTGAATACTCTCAATCCCCAAAATAGTGACAATCGAGTGAAATAGGGTATTTCGACTGAATAAGAAAATATCTCAACCAACCATGCAGCTGAAACATATTCCATGTGTTTAATTATGTCACGATTCTGCTCACACCACCTCCATTGTCAGAACTGACAGAATTGTGACAGGACTGAATTCTGCGTCACTCGATTGCAAATTGCAATTCTGTCGGGATGTTCCGGACTCACAATCAAGCCAAAGGCAACAACCCATGGGGTAACTATCACAAATCATCAGACTGCCTCAAACTGTCTGTATTGTAGGTCTGTATACTAGTTCTTGGATATTTTTGTGACTAAGTAGAATATTAATAGACAAATACTTAAAATAAAGAAAATAGGTGTGCAAGTCAGGGGGGCAGCTGCCCTCTTTACTTTCAGGCAATCTGTGAAAACAAAAATTATTATTTGATCTAGTTGGCAAAATAAAGTGCTCAAAATTTAATAAAATACTAATTTTACTTTTCTTTTTATTAAAGATACATTATGGGAGATTAGATAACGAGTTGGCAGTTATCACTATAATAGTTAAAAACTACATAATGTAAAGGCAACTTGCTGAAAATTTCAGTCAAATTGATCCACTATGAACCGAGAACTAAGCGGATGAAAGTTCCGCTTAGTCTCGATCATCATTACTGAAGTCGATAAGACAAAACTAATAGTCTTGATTATCCATTTAATCGTTAATCACGAAGGAAAGTTTTGCAGCAAATCGGACTGTAATCCAACAAATATCGCAGGCAAGCCTTGACATCGAGAGCTGATTATGGTCTGGATAAGTTAATTAATGTCTAATTAATAGTTTTTATAACATTTCAGGCCTAAAGAAAGACCTACAATAGGCCGATTTTGCTCTTGCATAATGTATATTTAAATACCACGAATTTGTACAGCATTGACTATGGAATGAAACATTTTGTCTGGAGCCACTTTACTTTGTGTGATATTTTTCGAGCATCGATTATTATTTGTGAATGCAGCTGCAACAGTCTGATTGGATGGTTGGAATTCAGGTTGGCATAGAGTGGAATATCACGTTACAAAACAATAGGACAAGTTTGAAGTTGCTTAACTCACAGGCTATATTAGCAGAAAAATGCATTTGCAAGGGTTAAATTTTCAAAATTTTCTCTAGGAGACCCTCATACCCTGCAACGATTGATTGGTTGTTTGGGATTCAGGTTAGCCACCTAAGATAGGCTATATTGGACCAAATTGAAGATGAAGTATTCACAGGCTTGAATGGCTGGAATACGTGTTTGTGGGAGTTAAATTTTCTCTCGACAGTCCCATGCCTGTGGACTGTAAACGATTAATTGGTTGGTTGGAATTGGAGTCAGTCACCTAAATTAGGCAATATTAGACCACTTTGAAGTTGCTGAATTCATAGACTGGAACAGAAGAAAACACGTTTGTTGCCATTAAATTATCTCTTTCTTATCTCGCAGAAGTTTTCATCTTGACCCGCATATTTAGAATTTACTAGAAGCCAAAGTTAACATCCAGTATGGTATTTTAATAAATCCAGGAATAAACGGAGCTATCCAACCAGCTCCACCTTGCTGCAACAGATATTTTACTTGTCTGAAAGATTGCAGATGTCTCCCTGAAAATTAAAAATAAAAAACAGAGTGAAAAAATAATTTTGTAAAGACTAGAATTGTTCAATCTTATTAAAATTACATATTATTTTGTTCTGTTTGTTTGGTTGTCACTCAATTAACGTCTAACATGCATTTTGGGCCTCTTATGACCACAGGTGCTTGTAAAAATAACATTAAGCATGCCTGGAAATAAGGGTTTTAGTTGTACCTGACAAAATGTCAGGCATTAATGAGATAGTACCTGATATTTTCAACTTGGTGCCGGACATGTATTAATAATATCAATAAACGAGAGCATCGCTACCGCTGCAATATACGTCCACATTCATACTTTGATAAATATGAAGAGAATGAAGTATGAAATGGCTGCAACGACTGTAATATGACAAGAGGCAAAGAAGGCTAGGCGTTGGGTATGTTTTGCCAAATTTACAGACTAAATATAAACAAAAAATAGGTGCCACATCACCCCTGGGGTTTGGGCACCACATCGCCCCTGGGGTTTGGGCATGCACGAAAATGAATAGTTGCTATCCATACAGTAAAATGAATAAATATGCGAAGTTTCAAAATGATCCATTCAGAATTCCCGCCTGTAGACAACAAACACAAAAATTGGCCGTGGTTCTGCCCCTGGCTGTTGGACATGGATCAATATGAATAGGTACAACCCTATGATGGATCATGCCGAATTGGATCAAAGTCTGTTAATATATTGCAACCTTTAGAGTATTTACAGACAAAATATTAACAAAAACTGCCAAAGATGGTCGGATCATGCACCAAAATCAATAGTTGCCGTCCATAGGCTATAAGGAATACGTATGCCAAATTCCAAGATAACATACCTATAAGTTCAAGGGATATTCCTGATTTGACAATGAACCTCCCAAATTTGATTACTGCCATAGAAATATTGTTTTATTTGGATTTTAGAACACATAGTAGGTTATGACTTCAGGTCTATCGAAAGGTTTACGAAATATATGAACTAAAATTTACAAATTAATGATTTTATTTGATCAGAAATATTAAACTAAATTAAACTACTGACACCCGATAATAGATTAGAATATTAGTAAAAAATTATTAATAATAAATTTGGTACTAAATTATAATAACGAATGACACCCAAACATAAGACTTTTTAAAAATGTACATCCTGAAAACGCACATGTACTTGCAGTTACATGAATTTATAATTTATTTAGTGTGAGAGAGAGAGAGAGAGAGAGAGAGACATTGTCATTGCAGTACCAAAAGGTCTTTAGCAGTGGGAGGAAAGGGGGAGAAAACGGTGGTTTGAAACGTCAACAAATAACCGGTATAAATACTTCTAACACTTACAAAGCGTTCTGAAAAATAAGTTGAACAAAGGCTCTCAGAAACCACTCACAAAAACCCGAATGTTACATGGGTGACAACTATTTAAAGCATATCACGTCAGTTTGACATTGTTAAATGGAGTTTGACATTGTTAAATGGAGTTATCTCCCCAAAATCGGGCATGCACCCAAAAGAAAAGGGACCAACCTCAGGGTATAAGGAATATGTATTTTAAGTTTCAAGATGATCGATTTAGAATTGTGGCCTGTAGGCGACACACAAAAAGAAAATTGGCATGGCTCTGCCCCTGGGGGTTGGGCATGTAGGGCCTACTCCAAATGATAAGGATGTTCCAAATGATAGGAATGTTCCTTAGGGTACAAAGAATAAGTATATAAAGTGTGGCTCTGCCCCTGGGGGTTGGGCATGTACCCCAAACGATAGGGATGTTCCTTAGGGTACAAAGAATGTGTATGCAAGATTATAAGTTAAGAAATGTGGCCTGTAGACGACAAACAAACAAATACTAGAAATGGGCGTGGCTCTGCCCCTGGGGGTCGGGCATGCACCAAAAACAATAGGGATCTTCCTTGGGGTATAAGGAATAAGTATACCAAGTTTGAAGAAAATCCAGTAAGAATTGCGCCCTGTAGGCGACACAAAGACACACGAAAAGAAAATGGGAAATGGGCGTGGCTCTGCCCCTGGGGGTTGGGCATGTACCCCAAACGATAGGGATGTTCCTTAGGGTACAAAGAATGTGTATGCAAGATTATAAGTTAAGAAATGTGGCCTGTAGACGACAAACAAACAAATACTAGAAATGGGCGTGGCTCTGCCCCTGGGGGTCGGGCATGCACCAAAAACAATAGGGATCTTCCTTGGGGTATAAGGAATAAGTATACCAAGTTTGAAGAAAATCCAGTAAGAATTGCGCCCTGTAGGCGACACAAAGACACACGAAAAGAAAATGGGCGTGGCTCTGCCCTTGGGGGTTGGGCATGCACCCCAAACGATAGGGATGTTCCTTAGGGTACAAAGAATGTGTATGCAAAGTTTCAAGATTATTAGTTAAGAAATGTGGCCTGTAGACGACAAACAAACAAATACTAGAAATGGGCGTGGCTCTGCCCCGGGGGGTCGGGCATGCACCAAAAACAATAGGGATCTTCCTTGGGGTATAAGGAATAAGTATACCAAGTTTGAAGAAAATCCATGAAGAATTGCGCCCTGTAGGCGAACCACAGACACACACACACACACACACACACACACACACACACACACATACATACATACACACACACACACACACAGACAGGGGCGACGGCATAATACGTTCACATTATGAATGTGGACGTATAAAAAGACAAATCAGTGCCACACAAAATGACAGGCACCAGAGGCTTTGTGCCTGACAAAGCCCGAATCTGTGCCTGACATTGTCTGTGACAGGTGCCTTATTTCCAGGCTTGTCATTAAGCTGAGACTGAGTATAATTTCTTTAATTAGGCAATGGGGATACTCAATTCAACATTCCGAAATTGAATTAACTCAATCCTCAAAATAGTGACAAAGAGTGAAAAAGGGGGTTTTGGGCTACAACGTATGCACGGACTGCATAAGAAAATATGGGTCTGTTTAATTACGCCATGAACTGTGATGGGACTGAATTCCACTTCACTCGATTTCAATTCTGTCAATTGGAGACGTTCCGAACAGACAATAGAGCATCTCCTATTAGTTCATATTACATGTATAAGGGAGATTATCAATTTTAGGGGCAAATAACTCGTCTGAAATCATTTCTCAATCAGTCAATAAATACTAACAGTGAGAAATAAAGATTTCTACCATGTCCATTTCTCCTCAATTTTGTCTAATATTGTTATATTTGCATTTTTAATATGTCAATTTCTTAAATACATGTATCAATATTTTGCTAACAAATATTTACTTTGTTCTCTAGGTTCCTTGTACTTTTTGACAAGACAACAATAATTCCATGGGTTTAGCCAAAATTGAGTGGGTTTTTTAACCTTTGGAAAGAGAAAAGGTTGCGACCTGGAAATCAACTGGCCGTAAACTCATTATGTTCCTTAAAAGTTGTGATTGTCGTAAAATAGTGAGTATTACGATCTGTTGACAAAAAGTAACTTTCGACCAATAAAATATTCTGTTATATGAAGGTTTGGCTTATCAGTTTTGTTTGTGTGTAGTGTGGTCCTCCTGCACTTTCCAATATTGTTGATAAAAACAGAGAAAGTGGAAAGTGATTTAATATCTTATCCACACAAAGTAAATCATTATGGGACTAACATATGGTATATACCTTAATTTTCAATAATTCACTTGCATGCAGAACTTAAGTTCTTAAGAGAACACACCCACCCCTCAGTTAAAAAGTAAACAAACCGAAAGTAAAAGTTTTTAATACATAAATATGTTTACCATTGACATCATCAAAACCATATTCATCCCCCAACTCAGCTGTTAACAAAATACGAGCAGTTTTCTTAATGATATTTGGATCTAAAAAAAATAAATCACATTTTAAAAACAAATTCTGCTAATGACATTTGGTTTATTACACGAAAACAGCCTCCATATTCAAGTCTGTTGTAAAACTAATTCAAAATTCATACATGATTAATTACCTCGGTATTGTTGAAAATCTAAATTAAAAAGAGTTTTCAATATACACTGAAATAGACGAAAAAACATTCCATGTCGCACATTATACATTGCAAATGGCCAACATACATGGCAAACTTCCCAATATACATGGCAAACTTCCCAATATATATTGCAAATGACTCAATATACATTGTAAGCTTCCCAATATAAACACAAAACAACACAAATCATCCAAAATGTCAACGTGAATGCAGTGACATAAGAAAAGAAAACAAATGAAATGAAATGAAATGGAGTTTAACGTCCTACTGTTCTGCTCCTAACCTGGGCTAATGAAGACGGGCATACGCCATACAGTGTGCTATGAGGGAAATTTTGCCCGGACAGCGGCACTACGGCCTACTCTTATATCGAATTCCAACTGCCAAGGGATCTTTTACGTGCACGCCAATGTGTACACGGGACCTCGGTTTTTCGTCCCATCCGAACGACTAGACAGCTTTCCTTGTCAGCCCCTCCGTCCTGAGAAAAGAAAAACAGATGCCTATTAGGCCCCTTAATATTTCCTCCAGCAGCGGTTACCTGTACTAACTCTATAAGCAATGTCAACAAATCCACATGCTGTAAAAGTCAACATGTGACAGGAAACTCAACAAAACAGGGTGATTACTCAGATTTATAATCAATGTATTCATAAATTTAATAGGATTCCACCTGATGTAACCAGAAAGTTTTTAAAAGTATTGTTATCTATGTACTGTTAGAATATAGAAATATGTGGACCTTCTTCTATTTAATGTATTCACATCTTTACAGGTGAGGACGGCATAAAAATGTAGACTCACCATTTGCAAGATGAACAATACATTTGCCAGCATATTCTACTGTCTCACCATTTTCTATATCTTTTTTAAACTTCCTCTGAAAAGTATTGAGATACATCGAAAGTTTATTCCATCATACTCCAAAAATGTTTTTAAACTTGCTCTGAAAAGTATTGAGGTATGTATAAAAGACCATTACTTCATACTTCTGTGCGCATTGTATCATAAGGTCTGTCATTGAGTCAACTGGCGTGGTTTCGATTCCCTGGTGTGACAGTTTGAATTGACTCCCGGTGTGTGTTTGCTCCTGGGCACTTGCACATGTCCAAAACAGTTGTTTGCATTAACAACGCAGCTGTATCTACTTCCGGCATTGTGAGATGGTTCCTGATCACTGATCGGTTCAGGAAAAAGTATTACGTATATGGTTAGAGTTTTGTCATTAATAAACATACTTGTCACACTATCAACGAATCTAAGTTGATTGACTTAAAATTGATACATCTATCGTTCGTGATTTGTTGCCGTGGTTTTTTTAGTGATTAGGCATTAGGCTACACGTACGATCAGTGGAAACCATACAAATTGATGATTGGCTTGAAATTGTCAATTAATTCACCTCCAAAGACAGATTAAGGCCTTTGATATTCCTGTGGCTTCATTTATCACAGGTATAAAAGAAAGAAAGATTCGACTTCAGCAGTTCCGTGAAAGATAGAAACAATAGGATTATACTTAGCGACACAAAGACACAAATCTGAAACACCCATTTCTTGAACATGAATATATATTTATCACCCCATTCCATACAAAGAAAAGAAAGTGGTAATAGATACTCCTTGTAAATTTGGGTTCAAACATGCATGCAAATTGCACAATGTATACTCGGCATTTATACAAGGGACAATTATTTTATATTAAATTTTCGAATAAAGGTCGTCAAGTTGTATTTCAGTTATCGAAATAAACAAACAATAGAAACTCGACACCCTTTCCAGTTAGTAATACTGTAAATATTGGTAGATAATAGTGTAGAAACCGATTTGATCGTAAGAAAATCTTAGCAAAAATCCTATCACGGGGAGTCAATGCACACTGCGTCCATAACGGTGTGAGCTGACTCCTACAACTGCGCATGCGCTAAACTCTAATCACACACCAGGAACCATCTCACACTGTCAAACCGGTTGTACGTGGCAAGGGGTAGGGTCGTCTGTCCTCCAGTTTCCTCACACTGCTAAAGACCCCTACGCACAAGCAAATTATTGAAATTAAATTTGAACCTTATGTTAGTCCCAAAATTAAACCCCATTTTTCTCTCTCTCTCTCTCTCTTTCTCTCCACTTCTGTGCTAAAAATGACTAACAGTTGCTCCATCTTCTGAATTGAGGTTGATAAAATACTTTTAACATATAAAATCCCTCGAATGGATTTTAGTATTGACCAGTGCAAGGTATACTTACTCTTTAGCAATTCTCAATTCTTTAAATAATGAAAATTATCTTTCATGCTGTCTCCTGCACTTAATTTCTTAATGAATTTAATTTGATGAAATGAAATGAAATGGGATTTAACATCCTACTTATCTGCTCCGACTTGGCTAATGAAGACCATACTCCTCGCAGTGTTTCGTTTGATTACGGCTAATCCCACTACTCACTGCTATAAACAAAGCAAATTCTTGATCTAAATTATGACTGGTCAATAGTCCGATTAACAACCAATTGCTAACTGCGTAAGAATACCAAACATAGCTCCACGTTGGACCAAATATCTTTACATAACGTTACGTCATGACTCACGATTTTATTATGTCCAATTAACCAGTGCATAGCAGGATATTGCAGAAAAACTAATTGTGTGACAAACAAGGCTGTCAACACGATTTTTACTCTGTGCATATAATGTAAACAATATTGTTTTGAGACGAATAACACTTTCACCGGTTTTAATACCTTAAATCACTGTCAAAAGTTTTAAGGAGGACCTCTGATTAAACGAAGGGCTGTCATGTTGCCGTGCTTTTGGGTAGATTTGATTGAAGGGGAAGAATAGACACACTCCCTCAAAAAGCGCAAGTATCAGAAGCTAATCCAGCAATGGTCAGAGAGGGATTTCTCGGGCCATCGCTTCAGGAATATGATGAAGACAGGCATACGCCATACAGTGTGCTATGAGGGAAATTTGCCTGGGCAGCAGCACTACGGCCTACTCTTATATCGAATTCTAACTTCCAAGGGATCTTTTACGTGCATGCCAATGTGTACAAGGGACCTTGGTTTTGCATCCCATCTGAATGACTAGACAGCTGTCCTTGTCAGGCTCTTCTGCGTCCTACACCACTGACAAGTGAAAAATACACCGGAAAATCTCCATGAACTTTCTTGCCCGATGCAGGGATCAAACACGTGACCTCCAGGCAAGCTAGCTAGCATCTTACCGACTTAGCCACCGTGGCTCCGAATTCAATTTGATACTGGTCACATTCAATGCAATCTAGTGAACAGAATTAATAACTTTTCTTTTATCAGATTGCCCGACATCATTAGTCCAGTTGTTGCAGAACAGTAGGACGTTAAACCCACATTTTATTTCATTTATCAGATTGTATTTGATATGACAGTTTTTCTAACACTATACAACTCACCAGTTCAGGATTATCAATGTGTTTAGAAATAGTTTCGGTATTCACAGGACCTGGCCATAAACTGACAAATGTTACGTTATGTTTCTTTAATTCTGATCCACAATCTACAGCCATACGATCACACTGTAAAATAAATACATTCTTAACAAGCCATACAATCACACTATAAAACAAAAATATATTCTTAACATAAACTTAAGCATAAACTTGGTTTATGGATATAGCGCATTATAAATATACTCATTATATGATCACACCGTAAAACAAAGATATTCTTAACAGCCATACAATCACACTATTAACAAATATATTCTTAACAAGCCATACGATCACACTGTAAAATAAATACATTCTTAACAAACCATACGATCACACTGTAAAACAAATATATTCTTAACAAGCCAACAGTGAGGCTGATGTCCCTGCGTCAATCCCAAAATAATTAGATGACACATACATGTATTTATTAACTGTAGATTTATCGTTTTGTAAAGCATCAAGCAATCAAACTGCTCATCTATAATTAGCCTGAGCAGCAAATTCTCATGATCCAACTTAGTCAAGGTTCCTATATAAATAATTGTAGAATTTGATATAATCTTATATAATACATCAGTTACACATTTTCTGATAGAAAACAATATATGACTTACGGCAGCTTTACCAACACCATAGGCAACATTAAAAAAATATATTAGTCCACCAACCGATGAAATGTTGACAATTAATCCAGATTGTCTTTCCACCATCATTCTAGCAGCATAAACTGAACAGATATAATGGTTCCTGTAAATATATAATTTCTCTACCTTGATATAATATTCAATATTTCATTTATTACACAGATTAAAGTCTCTGATTGTCATGTAAGACATTTTGAAAGTTGAATCTCTAAAAGGAATATCAGTTTAATAATGGTTCAATTCCATTCAGTATTCAATAGATTTTAATATCAACAATATTTAGACTACCTCAAACCAACATTGTTAACATCATCCCACATGTTTGGTTCATTTTCCCAAAATCTCTGTCCAAGATTATCCATTATTGCCTGAAAAATATTCAACATTTAAAGATATGGTTCCACTACTGACGTATTCCGGTAGTGGATCATTCTAAGGAATTCCTTTGAGCAAGTTTTGTCATCATATCCAACTTTGCCATAACACATACTCATGGAAAAACAGCTACTAAGCTAAAACAGTAATACAAAACTGCTAGAGACAGTTGTCTTCGTGCATTTTAGGGGGGTAGGGGTGACGGGGGATTATTCTGGCTTCACCATACAACTTTGGATTAATTAGATACCCTGCCTGCAAATAAACTAGATTTTGGTCATTACATCTTTCAGTGGATGTGAAGACGCACCTTATTTATTTTTAAAATAATTATATGTCAATACACTTCCACCCTTCCAGATTTAAAGACTGACAATCAACACTGTACTTACATTTACAGCAGAGTAGGCGTTATTGACCAAGATATCCAGTCTTCCATCCTGTTCAGTTTTAACTTTATCAAATAGTTTAACAACATCATCATCTTTACTGTGATCACATTGTACTGGTATACATTTACCTCCCCTGTTTTCAACCTGAAATAAATACACATAATATCGATGTATGACTGGTCTCTAGAAAGGCTAATGATGATGGGCATACACCATGCAGTGTGTTATGATGGAAATGTGGCCTAGAAAAAGAGAGAGAAATGGGGTTTAACCTCCACTCGACACAAACCAAGTCATTTCAGGACTAACATATGGTTCAACTTTATTTCAATAATAGGGTTCTTTAGAAGTGGGAGGAAACCGGAGGACCTGGAGAAAAAACACGAGCTTGGACAGGCGACCCTACTGCTTGTCATGTACAAGCGGGAAATCGAAATCCACCACTCGACTCAATAAGAGACCTTACGATGCAAAATGCATGCCACTCCCCACCCTCCAAGCAGTGCTAAGGGCCTACTCTAACTGCCAATGGTATCCATGAACCTTTATTTTTTTTGTCCCATCCAAATGACTAGCTGCTTTTTCCTGCCAGGCTGTAACATGGGGAAAACAGGGTGGAAAATCCTGAGAAACTTTCTCAGTCCACACCAGGTTTCTATGTACACATTGGTGTGTCTGTAAAAGAACCCTCAGCAGTTTGAAATCAAAGAAGAGTAGTGTACATCTCTCAATAAGTGTTAAGGTACACTTGGGCAGTTGTTTTGTTTTGCTAGGGTATAATTTTTTAATGATAAGACAAAATTTACTTATAAATTAATTATTGTCTTACAAAGTGTACCATATTTACAATGCAAAGATTGCTCTCTAGAAACTAATATTTCATTCTGAATGGTAGTGGCACCAATAATAAATTTGTTTTGCATATCCAGGATATAAAAAGTCATCATCTGAATGTGAAGTCTATTAAATCTTGACAATTTTGTGGTCTTACTCCGCTGACCTAAATATGCATCATACCTCTTTGGCTGTTTCTCTTAGACTTCCTCCAACTTGATCATCCGGAGGATTTAAAGTTCGACCTACAAATAATAATAAATCAACAAATTCATGAATCGACTATATGCTGAAAACAAGAGCACAAACTGGTTCATATTGGAAAAAGAAAAGAACTATCCCTTGGACAATATGAAAGAAATGAAATGAAATAAAATGGGGTTTAACATCCTACTGGGCTACTGAAAACGGGCATATGACAGCGTACATTAAGGGAAGTTTTGCCATGAAAGCGGAGCTACAGCCTACTCTTATATCAAATTCCAACTGCCAAGGGATCTTTCACGTACATGCCAATCGTGTACTCGGGACCTCGTTTTTTTGTGCCATCCACACAACTATAGGTGGTCCCTTGCCCTGCAGGCCATCGGTCCTGCAACACTGACAGGGAGGAACCATCCCAGAAAATCCTGATGAACTTTCTCGGCCAACGAAGGGACTGAATACGGGACCTCCAGGTTACTGAGCCATCATCTTACTCACTGAGCCGCCACAGCTCCCCAACAGGAAAGAGAGAGCGTATGCCTACCTGTTATGTAGACGGTTGCTCCAGCTTCTCCTAGCTGTAGAGCTATACCTTTACCTATACCTCTTGTAGCTCCAGTTACAATACAGATTTTACCTACTAATGTCTTCATACTGATGTATCTCAAACTATTACTTTATCTGAAAAATAACATGGGTGTACTCAACCTTTGTTATAAAATCATGCTTGGGGCAAAGATCTAATAACATCTCAATCTACACTTTTTTAAGTTACCTAATCTAGCCCCTATACTTTCAAATCGAATTAAGCGCCAGCCAGGAAACATACCTACTTATTATGGCTGAAATCTGTTGAATGATTTCGGATAAAAGTCAGAATTTGAGCCTTTAAGATACTCCAACAGCACAGTCCAACAACTTCAACAATTCTGAAACTGGGATGGTAAGATCACAACATTCGTGTTTTCAAATTCAATGATAAGTTAGAGACTTAGTAATACCTTTATCAATGAGTTTAACACTTTGACGCATATTTGTTTACATATAATACCGTTCGGTTTTTTTTTCTCCCATACAAAACAATCCTGCAGCAATGATAACATGTTCACTGATCTCAATTACCCCTAAGTACCACTAGAATTTCCAGTCAACAAACTCGGTCGATGGTTGGGCTAAAATTTGGGAATAGTTTGTTTGACTGAAATAAAAAACGCACTAACTCAAATATGATTACATCGTTTTTTGTCTATTTTGATTATTTTCCCCCAAGTTCAAATCTGACAGTTGAAGTCACAACTTTATTGAGATTTTCCTTCCAATAGCAATCCCCTAAACAACGTGTTGACCTCTCTTTGCGAGTAAGGTCGTCATCTAGGGTTAAGGGTCAACGACTGACGTCATCAACTGAAAACAATGGCCGTACTAATATAAACAACTTGAATTAAGTCTGTGTCCGATGCATAAAACTGATGACAGCATAGTATCTAGTCGCTTCGGAATAAAAACAACCGTGTGGAGGGATCTAGTCGCTTCAGTATTTGACATTTTCATGTGGCCTCGCCCAGTCGATAAAATCAATCAGTTAGTTCAGTCGAATAATCCAGTCGAATAAACCAGTCGAAAAGTTCAGTCGAATACTTCAGTCGAATAAACAAGTCGCTCAATATTAAGCAGCGGTGGCAGCGGGCTAAGATAATATAGTAGCAAATCATGCTCGTAGCCATAGCTGAAGGAGCCGGGGGCATGGGGTAGGGACCGGGGGGCTTCCCAACTAATTTCAAGAAATGAAAAGAAATGAAATGGGGGTTCAACGTCCTTTTGTTCTGCTTGGAACTGGGCTAATGAAGACGGGCATACGCCATACACTGTGCGATGAGGGAAATTTTGCCCGGACAGCGGCACTACGGCCTACTCTTATATCGAATTCCATCTGTCAAAGGGATCTTTTACGTCCACTCCAATGTATACACGGGACCTCAGTTTTTCGTCCCATCCGAAAGACTAGACAGCTGTCCTTGTCCGCCTCGAAAAGAATAGAGTCCCTATATATGATATGAACGAAGAAAGGGGATGGGGTGGGGCGGGGGTGGGGGGGATAAGGTATTTGACATTTTCATGTGGCCTCGTCCAGTCGATAAAACCAGTCAGTTAGTTCAGTCGAATAATCCAGTCGAATAAACCAGTCGAATAATTCAGTCGAATAAACCAGTCGAATAGTTCAGTCGAATAATTCAGTCGAATAAACAAGTCGCTCAATATTAAGCAGCGGGCTAAGATAATATGGTAGCAAATCATGCTCGTAGACATAGCTGAAGGAGCCGGGGCATGGGGTAGGGACCGGGGGGCTTCCCAACTAGTTTCAAGAAATGAAAAGAAATGAAATGGGGGTTCAACGTCCTTCTGTTCTGCTTGGAACTGGGCTAATGAAGACGGGCATACGCCATACACTGTGCTATGATGGAAATTTTGCCCGGACAGCGGCACTACGGCCTACTCTTTTATCGAATTCCATCTGTCAAGGGATCTTTTACGTCCACTCCAATATATACACGGGACCTCGGTTTTTCGTCCCATCCGAACGACCAGACAGCTGTACTTGTCCGCCTCGAAAAGAATAGAGTCCCTATATATGATATGAACGTAGAAAGGGGATGGGGTGGGGCGGGGGATGAGGTATTTGACATTTTCATGTGGCCTCGTCCAGTCGATAAAACCAGTCAGTTAGTTCAGTCGAATAATCCAGTCGAATAAACCAGTCGAATAATTCAGTCGAAAAGTTCAGTCGAATAAACCAGTCGAATAGTTCAGTCGAATAATTCAGTCGAATAAACAAGTCGCTCAATATTAAGCAGCGGGCTAAGATAATATGGTAGCAAATCATGCTCGTAGACATAGCTGAAGGAGCCGGGGCATGGGGTAGGGACCTGGGGGCTTCCCAACTAGTTTCAAGAAATGAAAAGAAATGAAATGGGGGTTCAACGTCCTTCTGTTCTGCTTGGAACTGGGCTAATGAAGACGGGCATACGCCATACACTGTGCTATGATGGAAATTTTGCCCGGACAGCGGCACTACGGCCTACTCTTTTATCGAATTCCATCTGTCAAGGGATCTTTTACGACCACTCCAATATATACACAGGACCTCGGTTTTTCGTCCCATCCGAACGACCAGACAGCTGTACTTGTCCGCCTCGAAAAGAATAGAGTCCCTATATATGATATGAACGTAGAAAGGGGATGGGGTGGGGCGGGAGATGAGGTATTTGACATTTTCATGTGGCCTCGTCCAGTCGATAAAACCAGTCAGTTAGTTCAGTCGAATAATCCAGTCGAATAAACCAGTCGAATAATTCAGTCGAAAAGTTCAGTCGAATAAACCAGTCGAATAGTTCAGTCGAATAATTCAGTCGAATAAACAAGTCGCTCAATATTAAGCAGCGGGCTAAGATAATATGGTAGCAAATCATGCTCGTAGACATAGCTGAAGGAGCCGGGGCATGGGGTAGGGACCGGGGGGCTTCCCAACTAGTTTCAAGAAATGAAAAGAAATGAAATGGGGGTTCAACGTCCTTCTGTTCTGCTTGGAACTGGGCTAATGAAGACGGGCATACGCCATACACTGTGCTATGATGGAAATTTTGCCCGGACAGCGGCACTACGGCCTACTCTTTTATCGAATTCCATCTGTAAAGGGATCTTTTACGTCCACTCCAATATATACACAGGACCTCGGTTTTTCGTCCCATCCGAACGACCAGACAGCTGTACTTGTCCGCCTCGAAAAGAATAGAGTCCCTATATATGATATGAACGTAGAAAGGGGATGGGGTGGGGCGGGGGATGAGGTATTTGACATTTTCATGTGGCCTCGTCCAGTCGATAAAACCAGTCAGTTAGTTCAGTCGAATAATCCAGTCGAATAAACCAGTCGAATAATTCAGTCGAAAAGTTCAGTCGAATAAACCAGTCGAATAGTTCAGTCGAATAATTCAGTCGAATAAACAAGTCGCTCAATATTAAGCAGCGGTGGCAGCGGGCTAAGATAATATAGTAGCAAATCATGCTCGTAGCCATAGCTGAAGGAGCCGGGGCATGGGGTAGGGACCGGGGGGCTTCCCAACTAGTTTCAAGAAATGAAATGGGGTTTAACGTCCTTCTGTTCTGCTTGGAACTGGGCTAATGAAGATGGGCAGACGCCATAAATTGTGCGATGAGGGAAATTTTGCCCGGACAGCGGCACTACGACCTACTCTTATATCGAATTCCATCTGTCAAAGGGATCTTTTACGTCCACTCCAATGTAGACACGGGACCTCGGTTTTTCGTCCCATCCGAAAGACTAGACAGCTGTCCTTGTCCGCCTCGAAAAGAATAGAGTCCCTATATATGATATAAACGAAGAAAGGGGATGGGGTGGGGCGGGGGTGGGGGGGATGAGGTATTTGACATTTTCATGTGGCCTCGTCCAGTCGATAAAACCAGTCAGTTAGTTCAGTCGAATAATCCAGTCGAATAAACCAGTCGAATAATTCAGTCGAAAAGTTCAGTCGAATAAACCAGTCGAATAGTTCAGTCGAATAATTCAGTCGAATAAACAAGTCGCTCAATATTAAGCAGCGGTGGCAGCGGGCTAAGATAATATAGTAGCAAATCATGCTCGTAGCCATAGCTGAAGGAGCCGGGGGCATGGGGTAGGGACCGGGGGGCTTCCCAACTAGTTTCAAGAAATGAAAAGAAATGAAATGGGGTTTAACGTCCTTCTGTTCTGCTTGGAACTGGGCTAATGAAGACGGGCAGACGCCATAAATTGTGCGATGAGGGAAATTTTGCCCGGACAGCGGCACTACGGCCTACTCTTATATCGAATTCCATCTGTCAAAGGGATCTTTTACGTCCACTCCAATGTAGACACGGGACCTCGGTTTTTCGTCCCATCCGAAAGACTAGACAGCTGTCCTTGTCCGCCTCGAAAAGAATAGAGTCCCTATATATGATATAAACGAAGAAAGGGGATGGGGTGGGGCGGGGGTGGGGGGGATGAGGTATTTGACATTTTCATGTGGCCTCGTCCAGTCGATAAAACCAGTCAGTTAGTTCAGTCGAATAATCCAGTCGAATAAACCAGTCGAATAATTCAGTCGAAAAGTTCAGTCGAATAGTTCAGTCGAATACTTCAGTCGAATAGTTCAGTCGAATAATTCAGTCGAATAAACAAGTCGCTCAATATTAAGCAGCGGTGGCAGCGGGCTAAGATGATATGGTAGCAAATCATGCTCTTAGACATAGCTGAAGGAGCCGGGGCATGGGGTAGAGACCGGGGGGCTTCCCAACTAGTTTCAAGAAATGAAAAGAAATGAAATGGGGTTTTAACGTCCTACTGTTCTGCTTGGAACTGGGCTAATGAAGACGGGCAGACGCCATACACTGTGCGATGGGGGAAATTTTGCCCGGACAGCGGCACTACGGCGTACTCTTATATCGAATTCCATCTGTCAAGGGATCTTTTACGTCCACGCCAATGTGCACACGGGACCTCGGTTTTTTGTCCCATCCGAACGACTAGACAGCTGTCCTTGTCCGCCTCGAAAAGAATAGAGTCCCTATATATGATATGAACGAAGAAAGGGGATGGGGTGGGGCGGGGGTGGGGGGGATGAGGTATTTGACATTGTCATGTGGCCTCGTCCAGTCGATAAAATCAGTCAGTTAGTTCAGTCGAATAATCCAGTCGAATAAACCAGTCGAATAATTCAGTCGAAAAGTTCAGTCGAATAAACCAGTCGAATAGTTCAGTCGAATAATTCAGTCGAATAATCCAGTCGAATAATTCAGTCGAATAAACAAGTCGCTCAATATTAAGCAGCGGTGGCAGCGGGCTAAGATAATATAGTAGCAAATCATGCTCGTAGCCATAGCTGAAGGAGCCGGGGGCATGGGGTAGGGACCGGGGGGCTTCCCAACTAGTTTCAAGAAATGAAAAGAAA